TGTTTCTCAGAATTCTGAGTTTGTATCTCACAATTCTGACTTTTTTCTTAGAATTGTGAATTACACATTTGCAGTTGCGAGTTTGTATCTCACAAATCTGACCATTTTTCTCAGAATTCTAATTTAGTATTTCACAATTCTGAACTTTTTCTCAGAATTGCACATTTTTATCCCATAGTTCTGACTTTTTTTTCCATAGAATTGAGTTATAAATTTGCAATGTTGAGTTTACATCTCACAATTCTGACTTTTTTATTTTTTAGAATTGTGAGTTTATATCTCACATTTTTTCTCGGAATTCTGAGTTTGCATCTCACAATTCAGGCTTTTTTTCTTAGAATTGTCAATTACAATCTTGCAGATGCGAGCTTGTTTCTAACAATTTTGACATTTTTCTCAGAATTCTGTGTTTACATCTTTACAGTTTTGTTTCTCACAGTTTTAGACACCCGACCTGACCACATGCACATGCAGAATTCTGAGGGGGGAAAAAAGTCAGAATTGTGAGATCTATTCTCACAATTGCAAAATATAATCTCGCAATTCTGAGAAAAAAAAGTCAAAATTGTGAGATACAAAGTCGCAGTTGCAAGAAAAAAGTCAGACTTGTGAGAGAAAAGGTCGCAGTTACCTTTTTAAAAAAAATATTTTTATTCCGTAGTGGAAGTAAGCTTCCATAAAAGAAAGAAAATATAGCTTGGGTAATAATAGAGCTGGAAGACTAGCTTTGGTCCTCACTTGGTACTCCAGAAATTGTTCGGAATATCAGAAAAGTCCAGCAGAGGCTGTTATATGTGTGTAGAGTACCGTATGGCTTGTGGTCCAGTTCAGCAGGACGGCATTAAAAACAGCTCACACTGAACTCAGCTTCACCAAACCCCGCACAGAGTCTTCGTGGAGCGAGTCCTGGCTGGCGGGGTCGAAGAGCTGCGCCGGGTGAACGTGGTGACCCAGGTGGGTGGCGCAGGGCAGGGCTGCGGGCGGGGAGGGCGTCTCCTCTGGACTGATGAAATGTTGATGGTGATGGTGACAGTGGATCTCAGAGTCTCGCAGGGCCATCAGCTCTCCTCCGCAGCTGAGGCCTGGGATAGAGGAGGGCAGCGAGGGCTGAGAGGGGCCCAGAGTGGAGCACGGCCCACCCAGAGAGGTCTTGGCCTGGAGGGCTGCGCCTCCGCCCAGAATGACGGGCTGACTGTGGAGCAGCGGGTTGGTGGCGGCCTGCAAAACGAATTTGGTGCTCTGAATGCACTGGTCTTGAGCACACTGGGAGGAAGGACGAAGGACAGAGAGAAAAGGGAAAGCCGGGAGGAAGTCAGACCCAACAAAGAATAAAATGTTACAGAAAAAACACGTCACAGGGCTCCATACAGCTGATGACTGTTGTGCTTGTTTTTGCTACTTGTGATTACTACAGTTTTCACCTGGCAGTCGATAGAGTATTATTGGTCACCAGTGTTTTAGGTGCTGGCATGGTTTTGTTCCTGGTCATGTCAAGCAACCTGTCCATGTTGGCATCTGTGTTATTTAAAAACCTTCCAAGTGACAAATGAATTTGCGCAAAAATATCATATTTTTGGAATGGGCATCTATATACTAGTGGCAATGGCATTTTGAATTAGTGTCACAAATGTGTAGGGTTTTTTGTTGTTTTGGAGCCCTGGGTCAGAATAGACCAGTTTCTGGTGGTTAGAATGACAAAACAATTATTAGAAGGTTAAGATTATAGAGGTTAGAGAGTGTGTTGATCAAAAGTATAAAGAAAGACAGAAAAAGAAGATCTGGGTAAATGTCACCAAACCTGTAAAGAACATGTTGAGGACATATTTCACTTTTCTTAATGGAAAAAGCCATTTTTGGACTATTAAGATGAATATTATTTTCATGAAAATCAAGCACCCCCATTCTCATATTGTAAAACAATATGTAATTTAAATTGTTAAGCTGTTAAAGCAATATAGATATATTATATATACTGTGAAATATTACTAAATATTATTGAAATAACTTTTAACTTATTGTAATATATATATTAAAATGTCATTTATTCCTGAGATGGAAAAGCTGAATTTTCAGCAGCCATTTCTCCAGTCTTAAAGGGATAGTTCACCCAAAAATGAAAATTCTGTCATTAATTACTCACCCTCATGTCGTTTCAAACCCGTAAGACCTTCGTTTGTCTTCGGAACACAAATTAAGATATTTTTGATGGAATCTGAGAGCTGTCTGATCCTGCATAGACAGCAACGCAACTGAAATGTTCCCATGTCCAGAGACGTAGCAAGGAGATCGGTAAAATAATCCATGTGACATCAGTGGTTCAACAATGTGAGCCAAAATCATCACAATTAAAAGAACCAAAGACTTAAACTACTTCAGTCTGTGTGCATTGAATTTATTTAATACACGAGTTTCACAATTTGAGTTGAATTACTGAAATAAATGAACTTTTCCACGACATTCTAATTTATTGAGATGCACCTGTATATGGAAAAAAGGCAATTAAATGTATATTTTTAATAGTTTAAACTCATTTGCATTACTTTTTCTTGTCTGGATATCTTGATATTTCCCATTTTTTCATGGCTGTGACAACTTCCAGATCCAGATAAAACTCTTTAGTCCAATCAATACCATAATTCACAAATATTTGGTGTTGGATCATAAATGAACCACAACTAAATGAACTGATCCCCGAACCTTTGAATGTGGTCCAAGTTCTTCTTATTTTTTTTTTTACTGGATGTGACAATTTCTTATTTTTGTGTTATTGGGAGAAAAACTTGTAGAGCTAGAACACCACTGGAAACGCTAATCGGCTTTACCATAAGAGTCTCTATGAGTGCAGTTACAATACCTTCATTCATCAGATTAGCCTGTGCTCCTGAAGCATGCAGATCATTTCTAAGATCAGACCTCAGGCTAAAGCCAAGAATTTGGAAATCAGAATAGGCCTCCGTAAAGGTTTATCGGAGGATTATGATCACGACACATCTTAGGTGTAATTTACCGCACCTCTGCGTGGTCTCTTTTCTTAGAAACGGCCTTTTCATTGTGCTCGCGTCTTTCGTCAGTTGCGCGAAATAATCTGATTCTAAGCAGCTTTTACACTGCTGTCTCACACAAATATAATCCCAAGCAAAAACAAGCCCTAAATTCAGATCTCATCTGCATGTGCCCGATCTCATTGTGTTAAAAAAAACACATTTTATGTCACTAATTTAGTGCTGAATGTTTCTTAGTCTGTCATATGGCTTGTCTTTCTGGATGCAAAAACACTCGCTAGTCATTCACCCGTTAAAACCAAGAGGGTCGGAGGCTTGATACCCGAAACATATCAGCTGATAACGTCTTCTGCGATTGCTCTTATGATCTTTAAAAAGGCATTTAACCCCTCGATGGCCTAGAGAGCAACAGTCAGAATGCACTTTTGGATTTCTGCCATGTAGGACAATCTCTCGTCGTTTCTCTTTGCTATAGTTTGATGCAAAAGCTAAATTTTTTGGTCCAGAATAGCATTTGTGTGTGCAATTATCAGCACAACTAACATGTCATCATAACAAGAAAAAGTCCTGCAATCATTGCACATTTAAAACAAAAATGCCACTAAAATTGTGGTCGTGAATGAGTGTATGCAATGAATACAACAATGTACTTCCACCTGCTATCAACTAGCATTAGCAAACAGCAAATGGTTTAGTGGCATTTTAATAAAGTGTTTCTAAACCACTACATGGGGTAGTTAAAGTCAACATTTGAGTCAACTGGATATTTAAAGAGAAAAAAACTGCATCCATTGAGAATTTATAGTAAATAGAAAAAGAAAGTTGTTCCAGAAGTGGAACAAGTGATTATATTTTAATGATATATATATATAAGACCAACATTTTTTTTTCTTCTGTGGAATAGCATGCATAACATGAATTATTCACAATAAGGAATGTGTATTATTAAAGTAAACAAGGTTGATCTTGAAATCATTTTGACTACAAAAAAAAAAAGTCTAAAGGTAACATGGATGGGTCTGCGCAAGAAACTGAAGTTATTCACAACATTATTACCTTACATTAAATGCATTTTCTTATTTACAACATTATTACTTGTAATCCATAGCCATAGTCAAACGGGGAAGTCTGATTCTTTTCTGCAAACTGGTTGTTTTGGACAATTAATTTCAATTAACTGGTTCAAATATTGGCTCATTTCGAGTCAGAGTGACTGCCAGGCGTCTAAAAGTATGTTTTGATTGAGTAACTTGTAGATCTGTGCTGCTCGAGACGCGAACTGTTTCAGACGCTTCAGTCTAATTTGGTGAACTGGTTCATCTAGTTCACTGAAAAGAACCGGTTCAAAAGAATGATTCGTTCATGAACCGGGCATCACTCCAGACTGTTTGTCTGAGACTCTGGATTACAGGTGATAACGTCGTAAATAATGTTCACTTTCTTTCGCTTCATTAGCCGCGGGTATTCATTTTGTGTTGTCTGTATGTGCTTTTTTGAGTCTCAAAGTGACGGTAGCCATTTACTTGCAATGTATGAATCAAGAAGGACCACGGTTTCAGCTAAAGATTATCTTTACTGTTCCACTGAAGAAAAAAGTTCACCTACATCTTGAATGGCCTGAGGGTGAGTAAATTAACAGCAAATTTTAATTTTTGGGTGAACTATCACTTTAAGGATCTAATATGCACCTTTTAGGGGCTTTTGCAAGGTAGTATGTATATGTATTTTCTGAGATTATATACTGTATATATATATATATATATGATCACTAAATACCCCCATTAGCAATTCACTTGTATGCCACAATTGAGAAAAAATTAGTACTGTGTGTTTTAAAGTTGATCTTAAAGGGTTAGTTCACCCAAAAATGAAAATTCTGTCATTAATTACTCACCCTCATGTCGTTTCAAACCCGTAAGACCTTCGTTTGTCTTCGGAACACAAATTAAGATATTTTTGATGGAATCTGAGAGCTGTCTGATCCTGCATAGACAGCAACGCAACTGAAATGTTCCCAGGTCCATAAACGTGGCAAGGAGATCTGTAAAACATGTGTCAGCTGCGCTACGCGGATACGCTGTTTTCATTCAGATCAAATCACAACAACGTAGGAAACAGATCCGGCGTGACGCAGCTGACACAGAATAAGGAGATCTGTAAAACATGTGTCAGCTGCGCTACGCAGATACGCTGTTTTCATTCAGATCAAATCACAACAATGTAGGAAACAGATCCGGCATGTATTGAAATTGCATCATATGACCCCTTTAAGGTGAAATGTGACCTGGATACTTTTGTGTAAGATTCATCCATCTAACCTAATGGATTGGTGAATCGTTCCATAGAAATATTATGTTAAGAAATGCCACAAAGATTTTCAAACCTATTTGAAAGCTTGCATAACACAATCATCACTTAAAAACATCTGGATCCCTCAAGGGACTGAATAACTGGCATCAAATCAGCGGCTGATGTGTTTCGCTTAAGCTGATGAAACTGAATCCAGACAGTGAGCATCAGTATTCATGAGAGCTGATCTGTTCACACAGCCCACGCCGTCTCCCAATCACATAAACACTGCTGAGAGAATCACATCACTGATCACGTCTGTGCCAACAACACAGGTGTTTCACATCGATCAGTGTGTCATGCTGAATACAGTCAACAAATCATGACAACTTGAGTGAAAATGTTGGAAACTAAAAAAAAAGTGTTAACGACAATTAGAAAAAAACTATTAGAAAAGTTTTTATTATTATTAATACCACTCAAATTTCGGGGGTCAGTAAATTTTTTTTTTTTTAACAATTCATACTTCGATTCAGCAAGGATGCATTAAATTGATCAAAAGTGGCAGTAAATACAAAATAATAATAATATAATGCAAATAAATGCTGATCATATGATCTTTCTATGCATCAAAGAAACCCGGGTTTCCACAAAAAAAAAAAAAAAGCACAACAAATTAATAATAAGAATTGTCTCTTGAGCGTCAAATCAGCATATTAGAATAATTTCTGAAAGATCATGTGACACTGGAATAGATTTATGGAGTAATGGCTGCTTAAAATTCAGCTTTAAATTACATTTAAAAATATATTCAAATGAAAATATTATATATTTCACAATATTACAGTTTTACTGTATTTTTGATCAAATAAATCTAGCTCTGGGGAGTATGAGACTTCTTTAAAAAACATTCAAAAATCTTACCGACCCCCAAACATTTGAACGGTAGTGTACTTTTTTCATTATTTAAAAAAAGAATATGTATTTTTATCGCGTGCCGCTTCATCGACAGCAGCATTCCGTCTGGGAAGTGTGCAAAACTCTGAATTCCGGATTTACAGTGTGTGTCGCAGACTTCGGGACTCCACTATATATTTCAAATCACTGTTTACACTGTCTTTGCTGAAACCTTGAAGTGCTTTGAACATAAATGGCTTCATTATAACAGCTCAAGTACAACAGACTGGACACACACACACACACACACACTCTCTGTGAGAGGACAGAGTACGGCCGTCTTACCATATGACTCTGGACTTGATTGGAGGGGCAGGCGCCGGTGCCGTTTGTCTGGGCCACAGGCTGCGGAGTGTCTGGTTGGACAAAACCTCTTCTGTCAATCAAACTGCAAAGAGAGAGAAGTGGATGATAGATTCCGACCGTGAGTCAGGGAACGTGGGTGAGGGAGGCGGAGAGAAGAGGATCCGTGTGTGTGTGTGTGTGAGTGTGTGTGTGCGCACGGAGTCCTCCTCCAACTCAACATGCCCACACACAGAGCAGATGGCAGCCAGTGATGCTGTGCCCAGTGCCCACTTCTACTTCGTGTTCCTGGCTCCATGAGAAAGTCATTAATGGCGTGCGTGCGGAACTCTTGTGTGGGTGTGTGAGTAGGTTTTGACGTCAGCAAGCCTCCTCACGCACCATCTGAAGCGATTCGGGAACGTTCCTCGGTTATCTAAATATATATTAACCGGAGTGAGAATGCTGATTGGTTTGTGCCTCTTATATTTAAATGAATGAGTGAGAAACCTGCTGAGGTCACCAATCTTTCTACAAGATCAGCATGGATCTCTTGGCTGATAACGGGCCGGGATAATGATTTTCTGAGGAAGCTGATTCATATCTTATTTGAAATGGACTTTTTCTGTGGACTGCAATTAAATTCTCTGATTCAGAGATATGAATGATGTAAAGGACAAAGCTTTGTTGGGCAAACAGAGGGCACACTTTTTTCTATTCTTGCTGGAGGTTTAGATTACTTTTCTGTATGCATATAAGATAATTTGTCAAAATGTGCATTATACCAACAAGAGCAGACTACATGCGATTATTTGCTTCAATTAAGTAATGAACTTAAGTGTGATTAACACATTTCATATTTCTGCTAGAGACATGAAAGGAACAGTTCATCCAAAAAAGAAAATTCTGTCATCATTTACTCCCCCAGCTTCAAAAAGTTAATAAAGACATTGTAGAAGTAATTTATTCATGTGAAATTGGGCTATTTAAACTCACTGGTTCTTACATGTCCAGCAATCATGTCTGAGCCTCCGTTTGCCATATTTGATGTGCGTTGATCAATGTTTATATATGAATGAAAGCCTAACTTAAAAACGATTTAATTTAGGCTTTCATTCATATAAACATGTAAATCAATCGTTAGACAGAAGATTGAACTGCTTGATTCATATGGATTACTTGAACAATTTCTTGATGAATATTTTAAAGCTTAAATGCTTAAAATTGGGAAAAGACACAAATCTCAAGTTTAAATGAAAATATCTTTGTTAGTCTTACACTCTAAAAAATGCTGGGTTAAATATAACCCAGCGCTGGGTTAAAAAGGGACAAACCCAGCTATTGGGTTGTTTTGACCCAGTGGTTGGGTTGTTTTGAACACAGCATTTTTTAGAGTGTAAGGTTATTAACAACATGAGGGCAAGTAACTGATGACTGAATTTTCATTTTTTTGAGTGAACTAACCCTTAAATCGCACAACACGAGTGTTGGGGAAAACGTGTGCTATGGCTTTTTGGATTTTTTGGATTTTCACTTTGTTGACAACAAAATTGGCAAAACAGACTTGCATTCAAGAACTTGAGGTACATCTGAGCCAAGTCTTAAAGGTGGCCTCTTTTTACACGGTGGGCCAGAAAGCAGCCATCCAGAACATCCTAGAAACCAATCAGCAAAGTCCTGGCAAGCATCAATAACAACATAATTTGGCATTATGGCGGTGAGTTTTGAACAAGAAATCACCATTCAAATTCTCTAACAATTTAGTAATCTATCTATCATCTATCAACATTTTTTTTTTTTTTAAGTATTAAAAATGTTACATTTAGGGATCCACCTATTTAAAAATTCCAACAAGCCAATAATTACATTTACATTTAGTCATTTAGCAGACGCTTTTATCCAAATGAGGACAATGGAAGCAATCAAAATCAACAGAACAGCAATGATATGCAAGTGCTATAAGTCTCAGGTAGCTTAAAGCAGTACACGTAGCAAGGTTTTTTAAAAATCATATAATAAATAAAAAGTAAACGGATAGAATACAAAAAGATTAGAGAAGCTAGTGTTATTTTTTTTTTTTTTTTTAAAGAAAACAAGCAGTTAGTAAATTAGTAGAGTGCAAGTCTAAAAGGACACGTTTTTTTTAAAGAAAACAAGCAGTAAATGAATAGAGTGCAAGTCTAAAAGGACACGTTTTTTTAAAGAATAGAATTAGAATAGAGAGTGCTAGAGTTAGAGGGTCAAATAAAGATGGAAGAGATGTGTTTTTAGCTGATTCTTGAAGATGGCTAAGGACTCAGCTGCTCGGATTGAGTTGGGCAAGTCATTCCACCAGGAGGGAACAGTTAATGTAAAGGTAATTAATTAATTACTTTCATATTATGGCCGATAACTAATATTTGTCCGATATTAAAATTATAGAATGTCTCGTTAAAAATTAAAATAGCCTAAAATCTGTTAGTTTAGGCATCACAACATTTTAAAATAAAATGAAATTGTTAATATATTTAATATAAAATGTTGCCCAACTTAGATGAATTACTTTCGCAGTGTTATTTCCAGTTATTTTCAAGATTGTAATTGGGCATCATGGAAACGTAAACATGCGACATAATTCGGTAACAACAATATAGAATATTACTGATTGAGAAGTTTATCACGTTTAAATAAAGGTAGTACGCAGTATACAGTACATACTGTGTGCAGTATGCAGCACTGCGTTCTATTTGAACAGACATTGAACAAAAGACAAAACCATACATTTGCTGCATTCACCTCGGTGGCAGAGGTCCACACAGTGCAGCGCAGCAGTTGGTGATGAAGTTTCCGTAGCTGTAGGGGTTGTAGTTGCCTTTGCCTCGTTTGGATGACCATGAACCTTTGATCTGAAACAGTGATGTGACCGTTGAGAACTACAGTAGCTGAGAGGGACAAGCTGCCAACATCAGAGCAGACAGCGACAGGCTGCCTTAATAAACCCTGTGATGAACCAGGGTGAGGGTGGAAAAGAGTTTTAGCTTTGCTTCAAGCTAGGCGTTACGGTGACAAACACCTGCAAACATATTGATCTTCAAACCCAGTCTTTTGAAGTGCTCATTAATTGTCTTCCTGTTACGGAACTTTCCGAGCGTCTCTTTTGATCTTGGCTCACAGTCTTAGACCCCGAGGGACAAATTTAAATACACTTTGTATGCAGGGTCCAAAACTAACCTGCGGTCGGGTGATTTGAGGAAATGTACTGCTCATAAAGATTTCTTAATGGCCGTGAAATATATATTTTTGTTCTTTTGAACTATTGAACTGTTTATTTCTTGCATATTTATAAAAAGCAAACAATATTCTATATACTGAACTGATATTCAGTTTCCATCGTTCTAAAAACATCTTTCTGAAAAAAATGTTTCACGTACACTCTAAACCCGGATTTTGTTTTAAATAAACGTTTTTAGTCGTCATTAATTATTCTTTCTTGTTTTTGTAAAAAACGTTGACATTACTAAATATAATTAGTTGTTTGAAGTATTCAGACGAAATATTGAATGCAGTGATTATGTTAAAGTGACAGCGTTACTGTAGTTAAAGCTAAAGTAGTCTTAATGTACCGATCAACGGTTTTTCCCCTGGCGTTTCACAGTTTAGCTATAATGCTAATATTTAAATCGGTGTTTCTTTTGGTTCACAGTAAAGATAAGTTCAGCAAGTGTGTTTCTGCATGTTCATTTTAGCTGTAACATTAGGGATAATTGTGCGTGCATCTATTAATCATTTTGAGTCTAATATCATCCCATAGAGGAGCCCCGTTTGAACACGTTTGAGCAATGAGCGCGCGATGTTTGAAGATTCCGGCTGGGAAAATTGATTATCCAAAAAACCGGTCAGATGACAGCGTTACTGTAGTTAAAGCTAAAGTAGTCTTATTGTGCCGATCGACGGTTTTTCCCCTGTCGGTTCGCAGTTTAGCTAACGTTATACTGCTAATATTTAAATCTGTGTTTCTTTTGGTTCACAGTTAAGATAAGTTCAGCAAGTGTGTTTCTGCATGTTCATTTTAGCTGTAACGTTAGCATTTCATTACCCTTAGCTTCAGTCGTTTAACATCAGCATGTGTGCATCAATTAGCTTTTTGTTAAAGCTATGTTAGCTTGTCTCTTTGATATATTATCGTGTCTATTATTATTTATAATAACTGCAACTGAGTTGTTGAGCTTAAAGGGTTATGCATATGCTAAAAGTTTATGCTGAAAGTTTCAGTTAGTCTTGAACTGTAACACTTTTTTCTCTGTTTTAGGTGTTCATGGAGTTCTAACTAACGTTACAGGATTGTGGGCAAGAATCTCAAGCATGAAATCATTGACCGACATAGTCTTATAGTCTGAGATATTTCAGTTTAAGAGAGAGAAAGTTGGGCAACTGTTGACAGCTTTCACAACAAATCAAGGTTGGTCCATATCCGTTATAGACTTGCATTGCATAGCTTTTAACAGCTTAAGTAATGAAAATGTATCACAAAAAGTTTACAATATTGGTTGTGTAATGCAATCAAAATTGTGCTTGATTGGTTCTGCTTTCTTGTGATCATTTCTTTAATTTTATTCATCAGTGATTCATTTTACTCCCCAACAGACTAAAGAGCCAACTGATACTAGGTCTCTGGTGCTCAGAGGACTCCCTATCATCCTTGGCGACAAACCTACAGATTTCTACAAAGTATGCTTTGTAAGTAACCTCTGTTTTCTCTCAGAATATCTAAAAGGACATAAAAACATAATCATAGTCTTAGTTATCTAGTCTTAGTTATCTAGTCTTAGTCAACATTCTCTCTCTTAGAGATATTTCAGTCTAAGAGAGAGAATGTTGGGCAGCTGTTGACAGCTTTCACAACAAATCAGTGTTGGTCCATATCTGTTATAGACTTGCATTGCATAGTTTTTAGCAGCTTAAGTAATGAAAATGTATCAAGCTCAAGCTCAGCTCTTGTTGTCCTTGGCGACAAACCTACAGATTTCTACAAAGTATGCTTTGTAAGTATTGTTTTCTCTCAGAATATCTAAAAGGACATAAAAGCATAATCATTTCACCATTAATTGATAGTTCGTGTGTTTTATAAAACCTCTGAGAACAAAGCCTAAACCATTAACTTATTACAATAGCTCTTTGAACCTCTTTGGGTGATCTGTTTGCTTAAAGGGTTAGTTCATCCAACATTTGCTCACCCTCATGTCGTTACAAACCCTTTGGACTCAAGTTTTTAAGAGTACATTTTTTAAAATACAATTTTAAGTATAGTTCACCCAAAAATGAAAATTTAAAGTAAAATTTAAACTTTAAAGATATTTAGCTGAAACTGTGGTCCTTGGTGATTGATATAAAACAGTCAATGGAAACTGTCATTTTTGATAGTTAAAAAAAAAAACATGCACAGGCAAAACAAAATTAATACCTGTGGATCCTGACCATACATGGGAGGTCTTACGAAGTAAAACAATTGGTCTGAGAAACATCCACAACCTCTGCAAACGGTCCTGAGTGCATTCACAACAGTGTAGAGCGTGAGTTTCCTGTCACATATAATAATGTATGCGCAGGGGCAAACTCACACATGAGCAATCTTCCTGTAGTTGATTGCACAAGCAAATGATTTTTAATTTTTATATAGGTTGTGAAGATCATCATTGAAGGAGAAGTTGTGATGGACAATATTGGCGACTTGCCAAAGCTATGTGCATTCTGTATGGACTTGTATACGCACTGCATCTCAACTACCCTAAATCTATGAAGAACACATTCGAGTTCATCCAACAGGTACTTCTCATGTTGGGCCAAACCCAGGTTGCAAACTCTGAAAAAAAAAAACAGCTTACAATGTAAGGAAATGTGAGAAGCTTCCATGAGAAGCCACTTGGGTTTTGCTGTATAAGACATTAAAGTGTGTTCTGTCACTGCATATTAGTGCTGTTAGTGCTCAGTTAATGTGTGTTCACACAATTCTTCAGCCAAGTTTAAAGTTACAGAGGCTTGCCTCCGTTTTAATGCATGCCCAGTTTTTAATGCATATCCAGGCATTCACAAGGGATATAGCATATATTGTTGAATACTGTGTGTTTATGTTTCTTCTACAAAATAGTTACAATTGTTAGTAAGTTAGTTTCAAAGCTTATTTTTTACTTGTCTTGTGGCTGACATGTTTAATGCATTTACCATTTCTTTGGTGAGCAAAAAAAAAAAACCATTTGTGCACTGAAATCTGTTTTTCTTTTTTTTTCAATTTACTTGAAACAATGTTTAATACAATAAATCTCAAAATCTATGTCTAATTACATTGACATTACATAAATATAACATTTATCATTACTTAAAAACATTTGTTAATGTTATTTGCTAATATATATACATATTTTTGTAGTTGTAACTTGCAATAGTTATTTTATGCAACCTACAATATACTCCAAATAATAATTGATGTGAACTAATGATTTTGAGTAAAGACTACTAATGTAAACTTGATTTGTCTACTACATAAACTTAAGGCTCTATGGTAATTCAACTAAAGCGGTTTAGTTTCAATTTGTGTAAAAATTAAAATGGTTTAGAGTGCCCCGTTGGGGTTTCTTTCTAGTTTCTTTTCGCAAATTTCTAGTAAAGTCAACTAATTTGGGTTAAGAGTGTACATTCAAAAGCTTAGGGGTCGGTAAGTTGATTTTTTATTTTATTTTTTCAAAAAATACTTTTATTCAGCAGAAATTCATTATATTGGTCAAAAGTGACTAAATTGTGTTTCAAATAAAATCAGTTCTTGTGAATTTATAATAATCTACAAAAAATAATCCTGAACAACAATTAAGCAGAACAAGCATTTTCATCTGTGATAACCATAAGAAATGAGCACAAAAGCAGCATATCAGAAAGATTTCTGAAAAATTCTATACTAATGGCTGCTCACAATTCAACTTTGCCATCACATGAATTAATTAGCCTATATTTTAAAATATATTAAAATATAAAACTGTTATTTTAAATTGCAATCATATTTAACAATCAAACATATGCAGCATTGCTAAGCATAAAAGACTTCAAAAATATAAAACAAAATAGTGTATTACATTGTCAATTATCACATCAGGTCACATTCATTAGTTAATGAATATTGAGATCATATTCTAAGAGTTCGATTTGAATAGTGAAAGAGAGGTACTCACGTCTTCATTGGTGGTCTGATTGGAGCTCATCAGGTAGGTATGGAATCCTGACAGTCCCACGATGGACCAGATGGAGAAAAAGCACACCACCACTTCCAGAACAGTACAACCATCAAGGAAAACAGAAATCTATACATGATGTACTACTACATCCACTTATTATAAGAGCTGCCTGACGGCTTCAGAAAATGGACTCGAGTATGCTAGAAAACAGCATCATTGCAGCACTGCAATCCAGACACCAGAATCGCATCTTTAACATGCTTAAAGTGCGCTCGACTACACCCCACTTCTGGATATGTGCCCGGTTAAAGCTCTTTTCTTTGTCATTTGATGAATCACTGCTGCCAGAAAATTTATAGAAAATGTACACAAACTTTTAATAGACAAACATCCGCTAACCGCCGGCTTTCCGCTAGTGCTAATAGTGCAGAAACAAACAGCGCTGATTTTAGTCAACAAGGCGCATCTGCAAAAAATGCTGGGTTCAAAACAACCCAATCGCTGGGTCAAAACAACCCAATAGCTGGGTTTGTCCCTTTTTAACCCAGCGCTGGGTTATATTTAACCCAGCATTTTTTAGAGTGTACCGTTCAAAAACTCGGGGTTAAGATTTTTTAAATTGTATATTTAATTAAAAATATAGTAAAAACTATAATAATGTTTATTATTATTATTATTATTGTTATTATTATTATATGTGTATCAAATGATTCTTACTTTTTATTTTTATTTTTTTTAAGAAGTCTCTTATGCTCACCAAAGCTGCATTTATTTGATCAATACTATTGTGAAATATTACAAATTAAAACAATTAAAACAATATAAATTATAACATTATAATATTATAAATGTATTTAAATATATGTGACCCTGGACCACAAAACCAGTCATAAGGGTAAATTTTTCGAAATTGAGATTTATACATCATCTGAAAGCTGAATAAATAAGCTTTGTTAGGATAGGGCAATATTTGGCCGAGATACAACTATTTGAATATCTGTAATCTGAGGGTGCAACAAAATCTAAATATTGAGAAAATCGCCTTTAAAGTTGTCCAAATGAAGTTCTTAGCAATGCAATGAATATTACTTATTATATAAGTTTTAATATATTTACAGTAGGAAATTTACAAAATATTTTCATGGAACATGATCTAAGACTGGTTTTGTGCTCCAGGGTCACATATATATGTTATATAAATGTAATTTATTCCTGTGATGCAAAGCTGAATTTCATTACTCCAGTCTTCAGTGTCACACGATCCTTCAGAAATCAGTCTAATAGGCTGATTTGATGCTTAAGAGACATTTCTTAAAATTATCAATGTAGAAAAAAGTTGTGCTGCTCAATTTTTGTGGCAACCGTGATGAAACATTTTTTTAGGATTCGATTAAAAGAAAGCTCAAAGGAACAGCATTTATTTAAAACAGAAATGTTTTGTAGCATTACAAATGTCTTTGCTGTGACTTACATTTCAATTTGATTTAAAAAAAAAAAAAAAAAAAGTACTGACCCCACATTTTTGAATGGTAGTGCACTTGTTTTCAAAGCATAAAATTTAAATCAAATTTTGTAAGGTTTATGCTGAAAACAAGAAAAAATAAACATATTTTATATTTAACTATAAATATATTTTCCGAAAAAACGTTATACGATTTTATGCAATTTTATTCAAAAATAAAATTATATAATTAAAATATACTTTTCATATATCATTTGCAAATATATGAACTTAAAAGTCCTTTTTTGACTCACTTAAATTGGAGTTTTAAATTATTAACTACATCTTTATATGTCATTTCTGTCTTATGCTTAAAGTATACTGTTAAATGTATACTTGCAAGCATTTACAGTAAATTACAATAAACGATTTTATGCAATTTTGCTGCATATCTACATTTATAAAAGATATTTTAACTAAAATACTGATTAAGAAAACAATTTGCAGTTTGTACCTTGCAAAGCAGGTTTTTGCAGGCACTAGCATGTGTTGACTTGCTTGCTTATGGGAGTAAGTCTATCATGAAGCAATAAATGATGCATGACAAGCTAATAATTGACCGTGAGCAGCAAGCCGGTCTCACTAATGAACACGACAGCGAGACGTCCCTAATACAAATCACTCTTCCGCATATGTGTGCAGTCAGACGGAAGATCTTTCCTCGCAAGCCAATCTCAGATATGCAAAGACTTCCCACAGACCGTATTTAATAACATATTTCTTTCCATTGAAAAGAGAGGGGTACAGACACATAGCAATGAAGATGTAGAGAAAGTCAGCGTGGGCTGCTTTTCTGCAATTGTGTTCCAGAGGTGTGAAAACCAGAAATAGACTGCTATTGCACAGCCTCTTCCCACACACCCACTTTAGTGAAAGGATATCTAGCAGGGCTGTCTTTGAGAGCACTAAGAAAGCCAGTCCTGTTGGATCCTGCAGGAAAAGCACTGGTTATGTAACAAAGAAACGCTGTCACAGAAACCTGAAACACAAGTCTCAAATGAAAAAGCAGGCAGCATATTGAGCAAAGCAGGGCCGTTTCTAGGCATAGGCGAGCTAGGCGGTCGCCTAGGGCTCCACCAGCTGAAGGGGCGCCAATGAGCGCACGTACTGGCACTTTTAGCAGGGTTGTGATAAAGAGTGGCACGGTCACCCTGAAATATGACTGCCGCCCCCACTGGATCCCCCAACATTATTGGGCTAGAGTACTGTCAATCTGACGATGCCTGTATGCCACTAGATCAGAGTGCTGTCAATTGCTGCCTGATTGTTGCATGCAAAGTTTGCATTTGGAGCGCTCAACAACGGCATTAGATCAGTGGGCTCTGTCAGTGCTTTGGCAAGGTAACACTTTTTTTTTGCCATGCAATAAAGCTAAGTTCAAAGGCCAATTTAAAATATTGGTACAGTAAATAAAGTGCACAAAATCAGTATTTTGTTTAGGCAGTATTTGTGGCACTTTTGTGGCTCATTTGTCCAAATATTTGTGGCAGATTTGTCCAAAAGGTGTGCGTTTTTTGCGCCAATGCATTGTTAAAGGATCAGCGTGTCATGTAATATTCCCATATAAACTTTAACATCCAATTAAAAAATATTTGTATAGTAAAATTCGCTAATTCACGAGATCAATACATCCTTTATTAGACCGCTTTGTCGAGTTAAATGCATCCTTACGGAGGTGTCGAAATGCTGAATCAATTCATTCACTTTCAACAGCGCTTAATGGGAGCAGCGTCATAGAGGGCAGAGCGTCACGTTATTTAAAGGGGACGTTAATGCGTTAACGAGTAGCAAATGATTAAGTAGCTGCATTGGTTACTTTTATGCCACTGATAAAGCTTTTATATGTAGTTTGGGGTAACAAAGGGGTTTTAATAGGTTTGACTGAAATAATAATGCAATAACTGACACTTTAAATCAATGTTTCGAGAAACAACAACAAAAAAATTGAACAAAAAACAAAGACAAAAAAGTAGCCATTGATAATATCTAAACAATATGTAGTAGTATAGTATATAGTATCCAAATCAAAATGTAATAAAATTAATTTATGTGTGATTTATGTGTAAATTATGTGCAATGTCTTAGCCACTAGGGATTGTTACATAGGGCTATACAGGCATCTAGTGGCAACACAATGATATTACAGATACTAAATTGTGCAAAATGTTTATCTTAACAGTCAATTTACAAATAATGCATTCAGATTTGTGGAACTCAATGCACTGAATCTCCACAAATTAGTGTCGTTACTATGACAACCAATTTGAATGTGACAAGCAACTGGTGTCTGAAAAGAAATATATATATATGTGGGGGGGGCAATAGGGATTTCGCCTAGGGCGTCAAATTGGCTAGAAACGGCCCTGGAGCAAAGAATCACTGGAATAAGAAATTAACCAGCTGCTGTCTTACAGATGTTTGCAGGCACTCGAAATCCTGGAGTTTTATGGAATTCATGGATGCCACATTAGCAGCTATCGTTAATTAAGAAAACGTGCGAGCATTCCTTGTCTCTTTGTTTAAAAAGTGTACTTATTATGGAAATAGTATACTCTAAAATAATATACTTTAGTGTGAACTGAATGTAGTGTTTTTGGACACTGAATTGCATGTTATTTAAAATTATAAAAAATATACTTTTCATATTATATATCATTTGCAAATAGATTATCTTAAAAGTACTTTTTTGACTCAGTTTAAACTGGACTACATCTTTATATGTAATTTCATATTTACTTCTGTCTTATGCTTAAAGTATACTGTTAAATGTACTTACAAGCATTTACGGTAAATTAAAATACACTTTAATGTCTTGTGTGTCATGTGTTTGTAATTACACATTTGTGATGATTAAGTTGCAGGTTAGTATATTTAAAATGTAAAACATTTCAACTTTAAATGCAATATTAAATAAATATTTAATATTAAATATAGTATATATATAACTTTAAGTCACCTTTCAAGTCAAGTCACCTTTATTTATATAGCGCTTTATACAATACAGATTGTGTCAAAGCAGCTTTACAGTATAAAATAGGAAAATTGTGTCAATAATGCAAGACGATAGTAAACACTCAATTTTCAGTTAAAGACATTATTGATGATTGATTCAGTGATGTCATCATCCAGCTCAGTTCAGTTCAAATAGTATCTGTGCAATCAAGTCGATGATAATGCCAGAATTTAAGTTTTACTTTAGTATTGTCAGTCAACACAATCAAAATAAGGGCCAGATTTACTAAACAGGGCAAATTAGCGTTTAGAGCGCAAATCCATAAAAGCGCCGATGGGAGGGGAAAATTCTGCTGGTGATTTACTGACAGTCAACACAATCAAAATAAGGGCCAGATTTACTAAACAGAGCAAATTAGCCTTTAGAGCGCAAATCCATAAAAGCGCCTATGGGAGGGGAAAATTCTGCTGGTGATTTACTGACAATGCACACATTAAAGAACACAGACGCAGCCAGACATGCTTTTTTGGGCGTTAAATAATGGCGCAAATACCAGAAATTTGACGAGCGCAAACGATAGTAAATCGCGTTGCGTGATTCATTTTAATACTGTCCTCCCGTAAATTTTGCATCTGAAAGAGAGTTGCAAAAATAACTGTGTTCATGCCTTTTCAGCGCTAATTCTTCACTGCACGGCTTTAGTAAATCCTGATAGTACTATTTTAACGCCAAAAGATGGTTTGCGCTGGTGCAAGATGTTAGTAAATCTGGCCCCAAATGTACTTTAAAACATAAACAAATTAAGTCATTGTCATGAAAGTGTACTTTCTTTAAGTGGCATTTATTTTATTAATATTATATTATCTGCAAGCACAGGTAATATTTGTAAATATTCTTTTTAGATTTGAAGTACTCTACAATTGCACAATAAATGCAATTAGGCACACAACTTTTTTTCACAAGGGATGGTATTTAATTTTTATCTAAGGCAATTTAATGTAATTTTGTGATCCAATCACTCAAACTCAAACCGCTCATAATGTAGGTCAGAAATGTATATGACCATGTCGGATTTGTAGTTTAATGCTAATGCATCCTGATGCATCTTGGACAAATCGCTGCTATTTTTGGAGCAAAAGTGCTGAGTGTTGGTGCTTTTTTATATTTTTAACATGCAGTAACACACTGATGTTGCAATTGCAGTCACACACTCAGAAACCCTTTCCTCAAGATGTATTCAGAAGTCAGAAGTCAGAAAGAGCTTTACTGCCAAGTATGTTTGCACATACAAGGAATTTGTTTTAGTGTCACAAGCTCCAGTAAACAGAGACAACAACAACACAGAGATAGTAAAAATAAGATGAGAATAAAATACACATATATAAATATAAATAAACCACAAAACAGAATAAATTGTATGTACAGGTGTGCTATAGATAAAATAGAATAGGGATAGAATAAAAAATAAGTTGTAGAGATGTACTAGGATGTAGGGTGATAAATAAGTATAAGGTTATTGCATACTTTTATTGCACAATGGGAGAACATTAACTGTTCATGAGGTAGATTGCCTGGGGAAATAAACTGTTCTTGTGCTTGGCTGTCCTGGTATTCGGTGCTCTGTAGCGCCGACCAGATGGTAAAAGTTCAAAAGGGAGATGGCTTGGATGTGAGGGATCCAGAGTAATCCAGAGGGATTTCTGAGCCCTTTTCCTCACTCTGGATGTATACAGTTCTTGGAGGGTGGGCAGGGGAGCACCAATAATCCTTTCAGCAGTCCGAACCGTTCTCTGCAGTCTTCTGATGTCTGATTTTGTAGCTGAACCAAACCAGACAGTTATTGAAGTGCACAGGACAGACTCAATGACGGCAGAGTAAAACGGTTTCAGCAGCTCCTGTGGCAGGTTGAATTTCCTCAGTTGGCGAAGGAAGTACAACCTCTGCTGGGCCTTTTTTTACAATGGAGTCGATGTGAGTGTCCCACTTCAGGTCCTGAGAGATTGTGGTTACCAAGAACCTGAATGACTCCACTGCAGCCACAGTGCTGTCCATGATGGTGAGTGGGGGGAGTGCAGGGGGGTTCCTCCTGAAGTCCACGATCATCTCCACTGTTTTGAGTGTGTTCAGCTCCAAGTTGTTAAGACTGCACCAGACAGCCAGCTCTTTAACCTCCTGTCTGTAAGCAGACTCGTCTCCATCCTTGATGAGACCGATGACTGTAGTGTCATCTGCAAACTTCAGGAGCTTGACAGAGGGGTCTTTAGAGGTGCAGTCGTTGGTGTACAGGGAGAAGAGCAGTGGGGAGAGGACGCAACCCTGAGGGGCGCCAGTGCTGGTGGTGCGGCTGTTGGATGTGAATTTACCAATTCTCACTAGCTGTTGCCTATCTGTCAGAAAGCTGGTGATCCACTGACAGATAGAGCTAGGGACAGAGAGCTGGGTTAGTTTGGTCTGGAGGAGTGTTGGGATGATGGTGTTGAAAGCGGAGCTAAAGTCCACAAACAGGATCCTCACATAAGTCCCTGTTTTGTCCAGATGTTGCAGGATGAATATTTCCTGAATATTATGAAATTCAAGATGGCTGCCTCCTGATGACGTCATAATATGCGAATTAGACGACTATATTTACACCCCACATAAACGCTCATGCCCAACATTTTTCTAATTTACAGTAGATCTCTATCTTTAAGCCCTTTCAAGCCACAAGCTTTTGAAATCTTGATGTCAAAATCCAGCATTTTTCGAAAACTCCCTGGCGCCTTCTGAATATTTCATTTTGACTATATCTTGCCATTTCAGCTTTCTTGTAATTGCAACTTCATATCTCACAACCTGATTTTACATTTTGTAAATGCGACTTTATTTTGCACAATTGTGGCTTTATTTTAAATGCCACATTGCGACTTTATATATTATATTTATATATACTTTATATATATATATATTGCAACTCAGAGTTTATTTCTCAGAAGTGAGG